TAGGAAAATGGTGCACATCCACCTTCTGCTAAGTTTCTGCTTTCAATGATTCCCCCCCCCCAAAAAAAACAGAGGAATAAAAATGATTTCACCCACGTGCGGTCTAATCTGGCCCAGTCCACTTAACCACTTTGTTTTGCTTGCGAGAAGAAGTTTAAACATCTGTATTTTGAGAATCTGTTACAGAATCTGGCTCTTTCACGCCTTCCTAAAACTCAGTTAAACTGAACATGGTTGGAGTTGTTTAAAAATATTGAGCCAGCATTTACAAAAGGATCTGGTGCTTAGCGTAGCAGCCACGCACGGACATTATAATCTTAAAACCTTGCCGCACAGCAGAATATAATTAAGAGGTTTACATCTGAAATCTGTTAGTTTGCAACATTTCAGTTTTGCGACAGTCCTCTTGTTCCTCTCAGACACTTCAAGGCTGCACCGTAGTATGAAATTCTGCAATGTGGATTTTCAGGGCTACAACAGACCAGGGACCGGCCACTGAAATGGGTCATTTCCCATTTCATTAGATCTCTGTAGGCCTCACCTGTTCCTCCAACTAGAAGTTTTCCAGAAAAGCCCTTTCTCCACTAAAACAAAATGGCAGGCAGAGCAAGAGAAGGGGAACACTGGTTATCTAAAATTGCACCCCCCCAGAGACTTCTGGAGGTGTGGGTATTCTCTCTCTGTCTCTCTCTCTTTTTTTAATCGATATTTTGAGCACAGAACCAGCTCCAGGGAAATACATCTGACTCCCACCAAGTTCTAGACTGACATTCGCAACGATCAGTTCTCAAATCTGTAAGTTTCTGCTTCTTACATCGTCATCCAGTGTTTCGTCGTCCAGTTCTTCCAGCTGGGCCTGGTTGTACCTGAACTGTATTCGATTCAACACCTCGGTCAGCAGGAGAACCAGAGCGTCTTCGTACCTGGGAAAAGGTGAATGCAGAAATAAATCAAAACACAAGAGGAAAAATAAGAAAGAGGAGAAAGAAACATCTAGTTTTAATTAAACTAGAATATGACCCAATCCACTTTGACCCACTAGTCTGTAGGTCATCTCTCAATTCAAACATCTGTTCTTAAGTAACAACTTGGGTCGCCGGCATCAGACAACATGCCCCTCTGACAAATCTAGCCTTCTGGGTTCTTTCCAAAGACAAAACAAGATAGCAGTATGTATCCTCTTGGGTTTAATCTAGTTGCTTAGTTAGTGACAGAACTAATCATATTTATCCATGCTCTTCCCCAGTAATTGACGGAGTGCCTTCTAATCTGGGAGTCTCATCTTCCAGCACTATCTCTAGTTTCTTTCTGAATTTTCTCATAATAAGCTTGTGAAAATATTAAACATCCAGAATTTTTTTCCCATTGCCTTTTTCCATGCAGAATTAACAATACTTAGCCTGAGTGTCGCTGTTGTTGCCCATAAGTGACCGCGAAAGACCTTTTTCATGGGTGTCATCTTACACTACTGTTGCTGCCCAGCAGCTGCCTTCTAAAACTTTTCAACATTTTGCCCCCATCACCAGTGGAAATATCAATTTTCTTCTTTTAATGTGACCTTCCGGTGGTTATATTTTTAAAAATATAGCTTTGAGGGTAGCCATTGAAAAAGGGCAGCCAACAAACTTTGCTCACCCCATGCTAACAACTCTCTTGTTTTCCTGTAGAGTCTCATTCCTTTTTATGGCAAACCTTTGACCTATAAACCACAATTTGCTGTTTGAATGCTATCTCAGGTTTTCTCTTTCTGTGTGTTTATAGAATACCCTTACTCCTAATGTGACTATTGTCTTGTCTGTTATTTTAAACAATTCCTAAAAATGTATTTTTTTAAAGATGGTCTTCTGGACTCCAATCTTCCTGCTCCTTTTACAATCCAATCATATTATTAGATCACAAACTTTCAAATAAACACGGCTGGTCTCCTTTTGACTTCCTTTTTCTTTAAATCACCCTTTATTTTTAAGCTCTATAGAAATAAATTCTAAAATCATTTGCTGCTCCAGGATCGACATCACAGAGACAGAACATACATTTGTTCTGGATTCGAAGTCCACCAGCCCTAGTCAGCATAACCAATGATGAGAGGTATTGGGAGACGCAGTCCGGTCAAGCAGGACATATTAAAATGGCCCTGTGACTGAGTTACAATGTGACTTCATTCAACAATGAATTTCATTTCTCAAGAGGAGCAAAAAGCTATTTAGGTAAAGGTAAAGGTTCCCCTTGACATTTAGTCCAGTTGTGTCCGACCCTAGGGCATGGTGCTCATCCCTGTTTCCAAGCCGTAGAGCCAGCGTTCCTCCTAAGACAGTTTCCGTGGTCATGTGGCCAGTGCACCTAGACATGGAACGTTGTGACCTTCCCACCGTGGTGGTACCTATTTATCCACTCGCATTTACATGCTTTCAAACTTGGTTGGCAGGAGCTGGGACAAAGCGACGGGAGCTCACTCCGTCGCATGGATTCGATCTTACCACTGCTGGTCTTCTGACCTTGCAGCACAGAGGCTTCTGCGGTTTAACCTGCAGCACCACCACATCTCTCAAACTGCTATTTAGCAACTGCAAATGCGGAAGTTAAACTATTTTCTCATGAGCCTTCCTAGTTGCTCAAAGAAAAACAAAAATGTAACACCCATGGAGTTCAGAGACTGACATCAACGGGCAGTGACATAGCAAGTTGCCGGGAGTACGTACTGTCCCCGTATTCTTTTCTTTCATAAGAGGGAGTACTAAACAAAGCCAGAGAGACATTCACCTTCCTTTGCTCCCCTCCTCCGCTCAGTATAGTAAAAAACAGACTGCTGCAAGGGTGATCCTGTGGTTTTTCTGAATCTCCCTACACGTGAAAGACTCAACTTGAGCAACTATGTCCAAGGACCCACGAGATCAATGATTCCCCTCTCCATGCAACAAGGAGAGCAAAAGTGGAAATTCTGCACTCATATCTCAAGGAGTGCAGAAGGAGTCAAATGATCTGGGAGGTCAGGATCCGCCATCTGAATGGGACAATTTCTACTTTGTGCTTTTCTGAATAAAATAGGCTTACTCTAAAGTGGACGGGAAGTCTCAAACACTGTTCCTGTGGTGTAACCACACTTGCATGTAAACACCCGCTTTACAACATCCTGTTCACATGATTGCTGTAAGAGCTGCCTTTAAAAAGCTTCTCCCACAAAGAATGGCACAACTTTCTTTTTCTTTTACTCTCACAAATAGCAAAGTCAAGGTTTAGTTGGTGCACAGTGTATATTTCTGGCTCTGGAGTGACCGGGCAGAATGAATTAAGACTTCTATTTCCCACTATCCTGGATCTGGTCTGTGCAATCAGTAGAATGAGATGGCAGAAATGACGTTTAAGGCAGAATAGCCTTTAAAACACAAAATACCACCTAAAAATATGTCTGAAAGAACATTTGCAGTGCAGATAATAGACTAAGCTAAACTTGTCTTTCTAATAGGCATTTTTTTTAGCTTGCTTGATTTAATTTATTTTAATGGTCTGGATCCAGTGGAATATTTTTATTGGCATCTGATGCTTCTGCCAGAATTGCCAATTAAGGAACACTTTAAACATCGGCTACAGAGAGCTGAGAAACCCTACAGACCATGTTATTCTATCTCCTTTTTTGGCACAATGGTTACAGCACGAGGGGGAAGTGTCAGTTCTGCTAACCCTGTATTGCGGCCAATCTGAGGATCATTCGAAAGCAGCGTCCAAGCTCCAGCTCCAGCCCCGCGGCCCCTGCACTCGATCCGGCAGCCAGTAATTAAAGGGTGAGGAGGGGTCCAGAAAGAGGGAGGCTGCTGTCTAAATGGAGTCTGTGATTACAAGTGCCATGGCCTGTATGTTAAGGATGGTGTCCTTTTCAGCTGAAATCCTAAAAATGTGGATGGACAGTGAAAACAAAGAGGATCACACTGCACGGCTGGCAAACTACCATGTTATTCTATCTCTTTTTTTGGCACAATGATTACAGCACGAGGGGAAAGTGTCAGTTCTGCTAACCCTGCGTTGCGGCCAATCTGAGGATCATTCGAAAGCATGTCTACGTGCTGTCTAAATGGCCTGTATGTTAAGGATGTTGTCCTTTTCGGCTGAAATCCTAAAAATGTGGATGGACAGCGAAAACAAAGAGGATCACACTGCACGGCTGGCAAACTCATTTCAGTCTCTAAAGATTCACATGAGAACACCTGGTAGGAGAAAGTACACTTAACATGACCAAGGGATTTATCACTTCGTTACCTTATTGGCAAGCCATGTCGCTCACCTGTTGAGGACAGCTTCTTTATCTGCCAGACGACTCTTTATTTTGCTGGTCAAGTAGTCCAGGAAAAGAGTCCAGATGTCTAAGCAGGAGAAGTAACCTTCGTGGCTAGGCTGTTAATATAGGTGTGAATATCTCAAGTTATCAACACAAATTTAGTCACCGAGTTGTCATCATCATTTCACAACAAGCTTAAGCTTTCTTCTCCTTATCTGGCAAAATAACCCTTCCTCCAAATATACATCCAGTTTGCTCCCAGGGAGCTTGGCTATCTTTTTTTTTTACTCCCACCTCTTGCTGATTTTCCTTTGGCATTTGGTGCTGATCCGAAGAGGTTCAGTTCTAACAAACAGGAATCAGAGTTTTCTAACTGGACCGGGACACGCTTAAGTAACATAACCGAGCTGATAGGAGACTGCACGAAGCTGCATGGTGCAAGGATGGTGTAAACAAATTCTAATGGAGAGTCTGGACAGTCATTGAGAACAAGTGTGTTTTTGGATGCCCCAAATTAGAGGCATTTATCTTTGAAAGCCCACTGTGAGAGAACAAAAGTTAACAGGTTTTCGACAGGCAACAAGCTGGCCTTTGTGGGAAGCAACATGCCAGATTACAAAGGCCCCTGGTCTTCTTAACCCCCCTCCCAACACTCTTATGACCTTATTCAAAGGCACATCTTATTTTTGAAATGCATTTGCCCCTCAATGGCCAAGCAGCATTGCCTAAGGGATGCTGGCAAACATCCACCATGTCTATCATCTCAACCTCTCACAACCTGACATGGTCTAACAAGACACGTCTCCCGGGCCTGGCCTGTCTTTAGAGGCTGAGCCAGTGATAATCTGAGAGACACTGCATTTCTGTTGGGGACACCTCACTTTCAGAATTGCCTCTTCAGAAAGTCTCATCTGATGCCCTTCCCGAGACTTGTTTTAAAAACCCTGACGCTTCTCTCTTGAGTCACAGATGTTATATTCCTGTCTGGCCCTAGTTTTTGTCTGGCTCCATTTCTACCTTGTTTTACCCTCTTATTTCTTATGACTCCGTATTTTAACATCTTAACATGAAATAACTTTAAATTTGGTCTGTTTTAATTATTGTTTTTATAATATAATAACGTCACAACTGATAGTCCTGCCCGCATTGCCAGCTTTTAGCCTAGTTTATTTGGTCCTACATTTCTCCCTCCTCCATGGAGGTAAAAAACATAGACACAGAATGAGGCAAGCAAAGACATCACAATGGCCCAGTTATATCCCTCTCTCCTCCTCCTCACCAATTCTCTTTGAAAAAATCTGAGAGATTCCATGCAACTCAAACACTATGTCTTGCATTTCAAATATTGGCTGGCTGAGAGAAGGAGATACTAGGCTATGCACTGGGCAGGTTTAAAGAACTTTGTAAAAAAACGCTGTAAGGTGATCTTATTTGCTCTGCACTTTCTCTTCTGCTTGCAGCAAAACAGCTACTGAAAGGCTTTGTTCTTAGCCAAGACCTCTGTGTTGCCCGAGACAATGTGTAACTTCCAGAGCTGCCTGATTCCTAAAATATGAGCACAGGACTTTTCAGTGGCAGCTGCTAGAAAATGCAACTTTCAAACAATAAATGCAAACCTAGGATCCTCATATGGAATCTCTGAAGCAAGGGCTTACAGGAGATACACACCTTTACGCACCGCAGTTAATAATTAAACATTTTTTTCAGTTTAAGGAAAACTTGAATTCTAGCACTGTACCTGATGGAAAGTGTACTTGAACAGCAGCGCAAGGAATTCAACTACAGGGAACTGAGAATAGGATTCAATCCTCCTCAAGTGGACGCTTACAAAGAGGCGCAGAAAATCAGTAAACTTCTCTATGTAACTGCAATGGACAAATGAGAAAAAGTCCAAGTCAATGTATGTGGATATTTTCAAAATCATTACGGAAATACTGAAGCCCGTTTAGCCTCTCTCATGAAACAGTAAATGTGAAAGTCAAATGAAGCCCCACAACCGTCACCTACATAGTGGCCAACCATTTGTTCTACCGTTACCTAAAACACAGCAGAAACGGACTCGTCAAACGGGGCTGCAACTCCTTAAAATATCTCCTAAGAGCCTCCCCTTCTGAGTGTCGTCCCAAAGAGGCTTTGTACTCCCGTCCCCATTAGAAGGCTGACCTGTCTCACCGTCAGACCTCATTTTGAAACCCTGGTTGTTGGAAACGTAGGTAACACAAACAGAATTCTGATTCCTTTATCCTAGCCTTTGTAACGTAAGTATCTCTGAAACCAAGAGACATCTCTCTCAGGCCATCAGGTAAGCTCACATTCGACTGAGGTTTTAAACCAATCACTAATGGTTTTGTTAGCTATGATGTCCCAGCTACTGATGCCAACATTTGCTGAAGCGCCACCTGCTTCTACTGCGTAGGAAACAAGACGATGCTTCTTGTGGTGGTGGTGGTATGGAAGAACGAGCAGATTGGACTTTGCTAACTGAAGGAGGAAAGGGCAGAACAGATACCCACAAAGGTCTGCCCATGGGAGGGAGCATTAAGAGATCTGCTTGTATCCCGATTCTCAGCTCTGAATCTCACGTTCGGTTCTGCTAATGCAACATCGACAAAGCAGTTGCTACAGCAACGGACCAGTCTTAGCAGACATTTTACACAACATCCCCTCTCTCCCTTGTAGTAGGGAGAAGTAACAGAAGAGACGTGAGCAAGGAAGGAAGATCATACTCGGGGCAAGACATCAAGAGAGATGAGTGAAATGCATGACTGGGGAGCAGGCAAAAGGTTCACTGTCCTCAAGCCGAAGAAAATGTCACCCTCTCGAGGAGTGCGCTAGCTTACTTTAAAAACCATGTCAGCCTTTCAGGACATACACCCCCCCAAAAAACAAACTTTACTGTCAGAGAGTGCTGATGGATCCCTTGAATCCTGACCCCACAGAAGAATGAGCAATAATATGACACACAAAACATTGCTGTGCCTTACAACATATTGTGCATCTGCCACTGTTTAAAAATATTCAAGAGATCTCCTACAGAGCCACAGTTTCTCTCTTTGCTTTCTTTCCTTGTGAAACGACTCAGACAAAAGCCACTTCGAAGGTTTCTTAGTACATTTTTTGAGGGAAAACAGATTAGCTGAGGATCTATCCTTTTCCCCCTAAAATAAGACCTAACCTGAAAATGAGCCCTAGTATGATTTTTCAGGAGGCTCGTAATATAAGCCCTACCCGAAAAATAAGCCCCAGTGAAGTGAAACCCCACCCTCCACTCTTGTGCAGCAGCCAGAAGAAGGTGACAGGACTGTATATGAATAAACATGAAAAAAAATAAAACATCCCCTAAAAATAAGCCTTAATATGTTTTTTTGGAGCAAAAATTAACATAAGACCCTGTCTTATTTTCGGGGAAACAGGGTAGTCCACACTTTAAACCCCCTTCCACATTTTTTAAAAAAGATAATCCAATTTTGAAAAATAATGAAAGACAGGATTTGCTTGGAATCCATTTGCATAGGCGGACAGTACGTAATTCAAAATAGAACAAGCCCTCTCAGGTGTCTCAAACGGTTCAAGGCACATTTTAAAGAACACTGCAGTTTCCTAGTTGCAGCCTTCCTCACCTAATGCCCACCAGCTACTCCCTATCCCCATGGCTGGGGATGATGGGAGCTGTAGTCCAATGTATCTCGAAGGCACGCGATTTGGAAAGTGTGCCTGGTGCATTTCATCTGTACCCAATATTCCTTTCCCTCCAGTCTTCTACCCACGTGACACAGTGTGCTAACTAGAAAGGGAAACACTCCTTTACCTCCAGGTGGGGCTCTTTTGACTGCCTTTGCCGAGCGAAGGCAAACTCAGATCTCGTACAACCTCTTGACCTGCAGCCAAACTGTAATGAATGGGGAGGAAAAAGAGACACACGCCTACAACATCGCACCCACTTTGCAAAGTCAGCTTCCCGCAGCCAACGTACCTGCTCACACCTACCTGCCCACCTTTTCTTCTTCACCACAGGACTCTGAAAAATGGTGATTAGACACAGCACAAATAATAAGAAACCAATAACAACAACCCTGCAGTTAGCACAAAAGGTGGAGCATCGCAATGCTGCTGGTGAGCTCTTCCTTACCTCTCGTCCAGTTCCTCCAGCCGACTCTTCACTGTATGGGCGTTGTTCTCCTTGGTGATCTTCTGCAGGAGGTAGAAGGTCTGCTGGAACATCCTCAGCAAGTACTCCTCAAACTCCACAGGCACACAGTTCTTTGACATCAGTTCGTTGATGCAAGACATGGCAAGAACCCCTAGCTGGCCACGCTCTTGATTCAAGACAGAGTTCTGGCTGCTGCCGTTGATGGAGGACATCTTCCTGGCTCGGGTGTCGCAGCCAAAGCGTGCAAAGTGAAAGACGGTGGTCAGGAGGGACGGGGTGATGCTTGTTGACAAAGGGATCCAGCTGAAGAGATGGGCGAGGCACTCCAGCGCCAAGGAACAGATGTACTCGCTCTCCGTATCCAGAACGGGGATTGGCTGGTTCAGTACCTTGGCTGCACTGGGGCTCTGCAACAGGCTACTTAAGAGGTCACCTAGGGAAGGAAAGAGAACCCATCAGCCCACAATGCGCACAGATCACATAACTAAGCTCGCCTGACTGCAAAGTTTGTTGTAATGCTCAAGCAACTGTCCACGAAGCAGAACGTCCTGCGGCTTGGTGAGGTTCATTCCAAGAATAAGGTGTGTGTGGGGGTGCACTCTTGAGAAGACACACTTTAGGGGTGTGTGGATGAGCAATCCTACAAGACATGAGGTGGTTAAAGGTCTTTGGATCCATCTCTTCTTCTTCTTTTTTTAAAAAAATAACTTTTAAAAGGCAAAAGGGAGCTGTTGTATCAAGTAGCTAGGCAACGCAGCTTCTTCTGCGTGCTTCCAAAATGCAGCCACTGCAAATGACCCTGTTTAATGGTTCGGCATTTATTGATTTGATTTCTATATTCTCCACCTGACCAAGGGCCACTCTGGGTGGCTCACAACAAGAATAACAAAAACGGTAGCGGCCTGTCTTTCTGATGTTTAATAGACTGTGCAAAAGACGACGACTTTTTGGGTTTCTTCAGTTTCGGCTGCTGTTTTGGTACTGAGGGAGATTTTGGTACCGATGATTTCGGGTGTCGAACCACCAGACTTAGTCTTGGCAGGCAGTTTCGCCTTGGATTTGTACTTTACTGAGGAGGCCACAGAAGCGTCCGGAGACGGTAACAGAGGTGATGGCATCTGTACGGATTCCACATTCGGTGAAGGGCGAAAAGAATGTTCCCACAAGTAAGAACGGAGACGCTTCTGTCTTAATTTAAGGGCCAGTTTAGTAAAAGTCTTGCAAATAGGGCAAAAAAACTCACCATTTGAGATCCTTACTACAACAATGTTAAGGTGACTCAAATTTCCATGACCACTCGCAGAAAGGTCCAGTATTTACAGTAGAGACAATGGCTTGTGTGAAGTCCACAGAGTCTGTTTCAAGCCGAAGCAGCTTTGAACAGGGGGACAACCTCCTTCTCAGCTTGCATTCCTAACTACTGCCTTTACTAGGCCTCGCTCTCTGGCTGTGTTTGTACGGTTTACAGTGGATTGCTTCTAAGCACACACAACGGAGGAGGTTGGGTTGTGGTTCCCAACCATCCCAGCTGTCAAAATGTTTGGGCAGCAGAATGAAATTTAATGGCCCAGTCTTGCAGGACATACTGCCCCAATGAAGCCTTTTCTGGATATAAATTCTGGAAGTCACTTACCTTGTTTTCCTTTGAAAGCTAAGCTGGGATTTAATTGGCTACACAGGGAAAGTCTTGTCGAGCCAAAACCATTTACTAAAACCCTGGACGGAATTTGTTCAGCAAAATTAAGTCTTCTGGTATGTCAGCTATATCTCATGCTTCGTGGACTGAACTTAATGTGTCCTTTAATTAAAACAGCGCCGCAGATGTCAGACAGAAACACTTTGCATGTAATTTACAGCCTCCCCTGGCTTTTAAGTGTTAGGCATCTTGTATGCTAAAGAGATAGGGAGTCTTCCTAAATGGTTCAGGACTGTTCCAGCAGATATAAATTACTAGAGTTCGGCATGCACTCCTTTGCATCATGAACATCCTGCCTGCCAGGATGAGATGAATTAATGCATGTTATTAGAAGGTGAATTCAGACACAACTGGCACAGTCCAACTGCATCTGCTATGCGGTTTCTTGCCATGTTGCTGAGATAGATGTCAAAGGAATCTCAGGCCACAAAGCAGGAGTCAATAACAAGGTGCCAGCTTGGCTGGCATCACACCTTTGGAAAACAGAGCAAGGCTGGCATGTTATGGGCACCTTCTGTGTGATCCTTAGGCACAAAAAAGAGTTGGCCCTCCTGCAGTTCCCATAGAGCTGAAGTGTCCTTTCCCCTGTATGTCCACCCCTTTGTGTTTCTTCCCTATAAAGCTGAGGTCTAGTTTATCAGCGAAACACACAGCTCACCAAAACTTTTTTTGGCATAAATGGCATAATGCATGTGCGTTATAAACAAAACAAACAAACAAACAAGCATGACTCAAGCCTTACCACTTTCTCCTGAGGTTGGAGACGGTGGCGGAGTGGCAGCAGTAACACTGTATTTATCCCAGATACTTTCCAAAATACCTATGAAGGAAGAAGAAAAGCCTTAGCAATGGCAGACAAGTTGCTACCCACCCCTACACCTTAAAACATGTTCTACATAGCCTTCCCAACTTTGGGTCCCCAGAGGTGAGACTGAAACCATCACTAATGAAGGTAACAAGTATTTTATAGGAAGGGACCGGCCTGTTTTTGTCTAGAGGAAGACTGTTAGAATGCTTTAGTTATAGATGCTTGTTCTTAACCCAGATGTTCTGATTAATTATAGACAAGTCTTATGTTTATCATTTCCAACCAAAGCATGCAAGAAGTTGGTGGCAGTGGCCCTTCAGACACTCCTGGATGACATGAGTCATCTGAACCCATGATATCCGGGCCTTTGGCCAAGATAAAGAATGCAGACTCTTTGGGTTGCCTACACCAGAGAACAAAGAGGGTACGGGACCTTTTGTTGGTGCCAGAAGCTGGCCAAGAGATGCTTGCTTAAACCTTCAAAGCCCTCAACAGCTAGCTTGGGACCTGGCTATCTAAGGGATCACCTACTTAGTTATGAACTTGTTCAGATGTTAAGATTTTTGGGAGAGGCCTTCATTAGAATACCACTAGCTGCAGAGACCCCGTGTGACGGGTATGCGAGAGGACTTTCTCCCATGTATCCTCCAGATCGCGAAGCCCACTCCTTTCAAAGCTGTGAACAGTTTTCACTCTTGCTGCTTTTAGGAAGGGTGTGGAACTGTATCATTTAAACTGGAGTTTAATCCTGTCTTTATGTGCTGAAATTATTTTAATTCTTTCGAGATGCATTGATTCAAGTGTCTGCCGTGGTCTTGTTTTATTTGGTTTTAATGGATACACGTTTGACTCTGTTTTTACAGCTCTTTTTATTATGTTCTGCGATTGCAAGCTGCTTTAGTCATGGAAAGGCAGAGTATATATGTAATTAACAACAACAACAGTATAAAACCATGGCTGTCATTCTCTGCTGTTCCCGCTCACCTGTGAGGAGCCCAAGGACAGTTTGAACCTGGTCAAGAAGCAGCTTCCTCAGCTCTTCTTTCCGAGCGATGCTGAAGTCCTCCCGTGGGCAGGCCAGTTCTTCAGATGTTGTCTTCAGCATGATCAACCCAAGAGGTGTCGTCACCGGGGACTGGATCAACTGTTGAAAGAACTAGGCATAAGTACTACCCAGCTAACAGTTTTTCCAATTTGAAAAGAAACGAGAAGTCCTAAAAACGATGCGTTGATTTTCACTCAGCCAGGTCTCCGAACAGGGTTACAAGATGGAACTGGCAGAGCAGAATATACTGCAGTAACAGCAGGGCAATGTATAGCTAGGATGTTGAACAGCTCAGAGATAACAAGAAATGGTAACAGCATTATAAAGAAATTATCATCCAGAGATACATAAAGTGAGTGATCCTCGGTATCCCTATGCTACAGTTGTTTCGTCTCTAGTACTACACTAAGCTGTATCTAATGTTGGACTTTTACTCCCGCAAGAGTAGAATCCAGCATAAGCAGAGTGGGGGAGATCTCCTTTCCTTCCTGTAGATCCCACAGCATCTCAAAAAACCCCAAACCTGTTCTGGAAGGCTAGTGAATATTTCAGGATAAACAGAACTGCAGGGTAGCACAGGGAATAGTCTCGCATCTCCCTATTGCTCTGACCAACATGTTCAAATTTAGGATTAAATATTTATAAAATGCTATTTTCCAATGTGAAGTCTACACGATCTGATTCTTACCACAGCCTTGAAAGGTAAGCCCGTATTATTTTCTAACTGTAATGCAGATTTTCTATATTAGAGGTAGGATGCTGAGACAGAGGAAAAGGCAGTGGCATTACTCAAATGAACTCATAATGGAGTGGAAATTTGAGCCAAAGCACTAGCCTGTGTTCTTCACCAAGCGCAGGATGTTGAACGGCTCAGAGATAGCAAAAAAGAGCATCATAAAGAAATAATCACCCAGAGATACATAAAGTACAGCCTTGAAAGGTAAGCCTGTATTATTTTCTAACTGTAATGCAGATTCTCTACATTAGAGGTAGGATGCTGAGACAGAGCGAGAGGCAGTGGCATTTCTCATATGAATTCATAATGGAATGGAAATTTGAGCTAAAGCACTAGCCTGTGTTCTTCACCAAGCGACAATACTATCTACCCACTTGCATTACTGAAGACGGTAGATTTGTACACTTTCAGGACAGGAACTGATTCTTTCCATGGTTGTTTGTTTTCTCTAATAAAATTCAAATAGCATCTAACACATAGCATCAGGTATCCTGAACAGCTGTCTTTAGAGTCCATATACTAAGATCTCGCTTGGGGTTCCTTCTCCAGTGTTCACCCTTAAGATCAGCGAGGCTAGCTTGCCACAGATACAGGGCCTCTTCAGTGGTGGTTCCAAAGGTTTGGAACTCAGTTCTAACATGACTTTCCCCTTCCACTGTAACATTTATAGAGTACAGGTCTTAAAAAAATTTCCAGCTCAAGATACCTTCAACTGATAGATTACTTACGTTAGTAGATATGTTTTTAAAAAATAAATTCACATATCTGTTTTAATCTGACAGCCTTTAAATTGGACACTGCTTCTCTCTCCCTCTCCCTCTCTTTTTGCATCTCCTATGGAGGACGTAGTACTTAAAAGCAGGTGAAAAGCACCTGAAATCAACACATTAGACTCCTCTTCTCCATATTAAAAAAAAAAAACATTTGATTGAGACACATTCACAAAATCCAGCTTCACTAAAGGATCTTCTAGGAACCATCGTACCTGTAAAATATTGGTGAAGAAATCATGGTAGAACATCGGCCAGTCTTGCCGACCAATATCCACAATGACTTTGCAAAGCTTGTTCCTGATGAAGTAGGGCAGAGTTTTGTGGTGAGCCAAAAGAAGCTTGGGCAGGCAGCTGCGAATCTCCATTTTATCTAGCCTTTAAATTGGACACTGCTTCTCCCTCCCTCTCTCTTTTTGCATCTCCTATGGAGGACGTAGTACTTAAAAGCAGGTGAAAAGCACCTGAAATCAACACATTAGACTCCTCTTCTCCATATTAAAAAAAAAACATTTGATTGAGACACATTCACAAAATCCAGCTTCACTAAAGGATCTTCTAGGAACCATCGTACCTGTAAAATATTGGTGAAGAAATCATGGTAGAACATCGGCCAGTCTTGCCGACCAATATCCACAATGACTTTGCAAAGCTTGTTCCTGATGAAGTAGGGCAGAGTTTTGTGGTGAGCCAAAAGAAGCTTGGGCAGGCAGCTGCGAATCTCCATTTTATCTTGAGACGGGACCCCCAGCCACATTTTGTTAATCAGGTTCTGAAAAAAGAGACATCACAGGGTATCAACCTTGGGGTCTCTAAAGAGTGGACTTCTTTATGCTCAAGGCTACAGCTAAAGGCTGACAAGAAAAGATAATAAACTGTGAGGTAAAGATACCAACGACAGTCTAGAAAAACGTTCATTATTTGGGCATTTGCCAGAGAGAAAGGTTACTTGGCAACCATAAAATACTGACTCAGAATTGAAGAGGTACTGTTTTTAATCTGCAGAGAATCATAACCTTGAGAGGTAAAGATACCAATGACAGTCTCGAAAAACGTTCCATTATTTGGGCATTTGCCAGAGAGAATGGTTACTTGGCAACCATGAAATACTGACTCAGAATTGAAGAGGTACCGTTTTTAATCTGCAGAGAATCATAACCTTGTAAAAGTAAACATTGTGCTCAAGACATGAAATGAGATCCTACTAGTTCGCGGAACAAAAAAAATCAGCAAATTTGCGGTTAATTGAATGTTACAAAATTTACTGACCCATCTTTGTAAAAAGGGTGCAGCTGTTACACTAGCACCATGCAAACCGCCACTAGGACTGCTATTAGGTACTCAGAATAAAATCAGACAAGGGGAGCAAATTTAGAATATTTTTCTAAATAAAAAGAAACCACATTTAAAAAACGCCACCACCAACACATAGGAAGCAACCGATCTCTCTAGATAGTGATAGGTATAAAACAGAAAAAGCTGATCTACCCGATTTTGCAACTCTTACCACACATTCAGACACCCATAAAAAGAAGAAAGAGTGACTCTTCCTCATGGAAGCCTTTCTGTATTATCAGACCCAAATCTATGAGTGCGACTACAATTTTCTGTGTTCTCAATCGTACACGAGCCACTGTTGGAGACAACAGTGTAAGGTATTTAATTGTGCAGGGCAGCAAACCCAAACAGGAATGTATTGAATGGTTCTTCCCAGTACTCAAGTCATAATGACGTTTTTAGCAAGAGCAAAACAGATTGAACAAGGTTGACAGAGGGATGGCTGTGGGAGACAGCAGGGGGCTCCAGAACCAAACATGGGTGAAGGTTGTAGCATCGCATAGTGATCTGGGCAGCCCCCTGCTCCATGAAAGCCGGAGGAAACAATTCCCAGAAAGGTCGTCTGTAGCAGAAGTCCCCAACCTTGGGCCTCCAGATGTTCTTGGACTTCAACTCCCAGAAATCCTGGCCAGCAGAGGTGGTGGTGAAGGCTTCGGGGAGTTGTAGTCCAAGAACATCTGGAGGCCCAAGGTTGGGGACTTCTGTATAGAGCACAAGCCAGCTTGCAGTATTTTGAGAGCTCGTAATGGCGAGGAGTAGGTTCTTCACCTCAGGTTCAGAACCCGGGCACCAAAAGGGCAGATTTAAAAGAGAAAGCCACCTTGGTCTGTCTCAGCGTGTATAACGATATAATGAAAGCCAAAAGGATTGTGGCACCTCGAAGACCAGAAGGCTCACAATCCCTGAAACCTCACAGAGAAATAAATCTGCTGGTTTTTTAACAGGTCATGGTACGTTTGCTTTCCATTTTCTTCCTTTTTTTCTTTTTTCGGATTATACAAATGTGTGTGCATACGGGTAATCCTCTGTGTTCTCCCTGGAGTGGGAAATGGTCTCAGCCCCGGCTTTCAGAGAATTCCTGCCCCAGTGAAACAGAACATCCAGAAGAGGCGTGTTTTCAGTGTGTTTCCTCTTGCCTGGTACCTCACCTCAAACACTGTCAAACTGTACATCATCACGTAGTCATTTCTTGTGCTTGACAGGAAGTAGAGGCAGAATCTCCAGGCGCCAATCTGCTGAGCGAAGTTATTCAGGAGCTCCTCTGGGGGAAAAAATGTTCATCAAAAATATGTGTTAAAACTGTTAACAGTAGAGAACATCAAGCAATTCAACGGCATCTTCTAAATTTGCTTCCAGATCTTGAACAGAATGGGCTTTCCCACAGATTCAAACATAATCACTGCTTCTTGTGCAAATAAACCAGTGTTGTGCCCAGAATAAAAGCAGACCACAGGTGGTTATACAGAAATGCTTTTTTCTCTTTGTTTTCCAGCTAACTAACTTTACCCCATTATACCCATGGACCTCAAAGTGAACATAATAAACAAACTAAAATCTGTTAACAGGATGAAATACAAATACCTACAACATGTTTGCAACACAAATTCATTCCTGGATTGCTTTAGCTTAAAATGGGCAACATAAGCCCATTATCTGCTTATTTCCCATGTTAATACTGGCTCAGGGCCATTCCTGGATATTCTTCAGTCACTCCCACTTGGGAGAGACATTTTGGGAGAGACATTTTGTTCAACTACAAAAACAAAAAAACAAACTTGCAGCTCCCGCATGACTCCAGGAGGGCCAATTTCCTTTTTTTAAAGAAACTGATTAAGTTCTGCTTTAGCTAAGAGCAACATTTGGCCCAGGTTGTGTAAAGGAGAAGCCAACTTCTACTTTACACCGTCTCCAACCATTGCTCCATCTATCTCAACACTATCAAATTCCGCCTGGCAGCAGCTCTCCAGATTTGCAGGATGAGGTCTTTCACAGCCTGACCTGGAAAGACCAAGGAGGTATTCTGAAAGAATCTGGCTTCAGAATAGAGCTAAGAAAGAAGAAATTCAGGCAACGGCAGATGTGATTACATGCAAGTTTGCTTCAAGCACTTATCGAGCAAGGAGGAGTGGGTTGAATATTAGGAAGGCATGGATGGGGGGAATGCTCATTCCCATTGCTTATCTCCTTTCAGAGCCACTGGCCAGTGATGTGGACACCAAGGCCAGTGGCACCCCCTGCCACCGACTCCATCCTGAAGTCCTCGCACAAGATCCCATGAAAAAATGAAGAAGAGAAGGAGGTATCACCCCCCCTCCCAAATAAAGGGAAGGTTTACACGTTCAGAAAAAAGAAACGTGAAGAGGGACAAGAGATGCTGTCATTTATCTTCCTACCATGGACCAAGGGATCCCCCTCTTGATTTTGGTGCCCTGGAGCAAAGCTCCAGTCACTCCACCCTGGTTTACAGCCCTGCCTCCTACCATTTCAGCCTCATTTCTCATAATCTGGGGGAAAAGACTACGGGAGGAGCTACGTTGCCAGCCTGCACACGTTTCCATCTCGCTCTTGAAAAGAAAACAAACAAAAACCATAACAAGCCCAACTTTACTCAGTGGAGAACAAGCTGTGTGTAAAGAGAAGGATCTCGCATCCCCTCTCACTGGACTCTTAAATCAGAAGTGGGAAGGTTTTAACCCTCTCGGATTTACTTAGGATTTTTGCTACAACCCCGAGACATTCCCGAGCTACAGCCAAGCACAACACTGTGGTGACAAGGAGGAGTTAGGTACAACCCACTGGTTAGTCAAGTGCAGTCAATTATGAACTGGTTAAGCTCGTGGAGCCAATTAATTGCCTTTGCTCATGAACCAACACACCTAGAGAGACTGCCTATACAAATCTGCATATGAGTTGTTTGTTATGTGTTATCAAGTCGGAACTGACTTATAGCGACCCTAATAGGGCTTTCAAGGTATGTAAGATACCTAAGGCGTGACTTTACCAGTTCCACACACACCCCAGTGAGTTTGCATGGCCGAGCGGGGATTTGAACTCATTCCTCCTCAGTCCTAGTCCGTTACTCTATCCACTTCATCACAATGCTATCACAAATGAGTTACTATAGAGGAAAAATTCAAAATTAAATAAAAGCAAAAATGCTTTCTAAAAAAAAGCAGAGAGAATTATAGTGGTTCGCTTGACGTCAAGTCTGATCAGAGCTACTGGATGTCTAAAGATAATGGCTGGATAGCTAATCCATGCTTCCTGGCACAGAGAGATTCTTTTGAAACAGTTTGCTGGGAGCTTATTCTGGAATTCAGATTATTCCTGCACTCAAATGGATGTGAGGCAGTGAGTGGGAGAAAGAAAGAATTTCATAAACAGGGAGGACTGCAGTCTCACAGAAAGCTATATAATTCATCCAATCTTTCTCCATTCCATCTGTGCTATGAAAATATATATTGTGCTTTCGCATGCAAGAAGAGAAACAAGGCACAGGGACTCTCCAACAAACCTGCCATGGAAGACAATCTGTCTTGGTCTTATCCTTTTGCCTACAGAAAGTAACAATTCCTTTGGGGTTAGTTTGTTAATCAACAGCACAAACTACCGCAGAGGAGATGCATTCGCTTAAGCAGGAGGGCTTCTATACAATCCTTGTACAGAAAAGCCTGTATCAAAACCCTAGAAAAAGATATGAGTATTTTGCTTATTCAAATATAAGGGGCCACCATTCATACTTTAGATGCGAGCTCGACTGTCCAGCTCGGATCTGAAGTGTTGCCGCCCCCCCCCCCGAATAAAAACACTTGGGATACTATAGAAATATGCAATTAACTGCTCTGGTTGTAGTCAGTGGATTTTATGAATGCAACAAAATGTGAAGTTACTGTATATACATACAACAAGACACAATTCAAACTATGAAATGTCTTTTGAGTATTTATAATAAACAAACAAATCTGGAGAAATTGAAACCGTAAATGTGTTTACCAATCTCTCGCTTCCTTTCGTTAGTAGTGCAATTGTGGAAAAACTCTGTCATTAGGCTCTCCAAAGCTCGCAGGGAGGCCTCTTCCGATGCCTGTTAAAGATGTTCAAGAGAAAATGTTAGATCTGAGCAAATTGAGTGTCTGCGGTTTACGAAATCTGCCCTCATTTTTCACCAGTACCTTACACTTGCCTCCTGTACTGAATGCCCACTTTTATCTTCATTCTCATTTCTCCTCCCTCCTGTCTTCTTTCGCCCTTGTTTTGCCCCATTTTACCGTCTTTAACCTTGTGAGCAAAACTATGCAGAGTTCACATCTACAAGCCAAGGCCTTTGCTCAGATATGGAACATTTGGAGGCACATCATGCAGAACCTTCAGCCAAACCAAGGTTCAGTTAAGACCCATACTTGGAACTTGGCATTTATACATCAAGACAGAGCATAACTGAGTACAAGAGGGCAGCAGAATTGGGCATAAGATAATGGAGAGAAAGGAAGAACCTCTTCCTATTGAAAGCTTATTTTATTAACTATTATGAATAAAACAAAGCAACTGGAAGTATTGGGCAAGCTGTAAGGACTTGCTTTTTCAAATGGCACGCACACAGAAGTTTAAATCCAATGGTAGTCTCAATTACATTAGACCCATGAGTAGAGATGGGCACGAATCGTGGTTCGGAGGTTCGTGCTGCTCGTTCCCTTCCTCTGCCTGCACGGTTGGATCCCCCATTCACCAGTTGGCACATGCTCCTCTCCTCCTCCTCTTTGGCTGTTCAACCAGTCTCCAGCAGGAGCATGGGCTTCCCTGTCCCGCTTCCTTGGTTGATCGCCCACTCAGACAAGGAGGCAGGACAGGCGAACCTACGCTCCTACCAGGGTCTGGTTGAAGAGCTGAAGAGGCGGAGAAAAGGAGCGTGCTCCGACTAGTGAGTGAGTCATTGGCCAGAGAGATGGGGGAAGTGAACCATATGTACTGGTATGAACCTCCAAAGTGAAGTTCATGCCCATCTCTATCCAGGAGACCCTGTTTTGGCTGTAAGAGACCAACATGGTTGCCCCATGGAAACTTCTAGAGTGGGACTATGTTACGATTCACTAAAAAGTCTTGTTCATTTCAATAGGTCTTCTCCAGGTGGTGCTTAAATTGGGTTTAACACACCAAGCTTCAACAGTGATTCGTTTTTTCAACATTAAACAAGAAAAGCAATCAGGTAGTCAGTGTACAATAACATTAGAACTATGACCGGTAACTCTATGACATAGCTTTCTGCCTGAAACACACCACTTATTCGCTTACAAAATGCAAGACTAAAGGGCTGGCTACATCACAGTCCCATTTCTTCAGTTTCCGCCGGATAGAATAAAGTATAGTAGCAAGCTAGCATGCATTGAGCCAGTTCAACTGAAATCAGAAATTTCTTTAGAGGAGATGAATTTAAGCTGGCTTACACTTTGCAACCTGTATCTTAGCAACAGAATATTGCCTTTTCATTTTCTCTATGGGGCTTAAAATAGAGTGCACATTCTATAAGGATGACTGTTCAGAGGTCATTCCACTCATTATACAGAATCGAAGACCGTCAGAGCAATTTAACATTTACGTGTTAACATTATAAGGATGGGTGATTATTATTCTTTGACCACTTCTCCCGACTAATACAAATACTGCACTCTGAAGTTGAGCTATCATACTTTTCCTTCTCTTAATTGTATTTTTTTTACATTATTATCTCTTCATATTTTTGAGAAGGTTGGTGTTTTAAATTCTTTCCTGGTATTCAGACTAAGCGTAACCAAGACCAGCCATTCTTTATCATTTTTTCCTGGTACACAGCCTTGCATTCCAGTGCAAACAATAGACCGCACGCAAAAAGCAAAGGTGGGCTTGTCAGCTCTGCTTTAATGTTTTAAAAAAACACCCAGCTCTACCTGCCCAGAGCCAGTCTAGGTTCAGAACTGAGCCGTCTGCTGGAAGACCCCATTAGCGGATTTATACCCTCCGTGTGGAATTCTCCTCCCTCATATTAGACGGGTTTTAGCAATTCTTTTTAAGTACACATTAAAGACACACCTATATCTGAAAGCTTCTTTGGTCTAGTTTAGCTTGCCATTAGGCATGGGGTTTGGGGATTTTTTTGCACTACAAATCCCATCATTTTCCATTCTGGCAGTTCTACCTCAAAGGCACATACCGTACATGTGGTTCGCCTGGGAGAAGGGCCTATAACTGGAAGGCTCTCAGGCATTGAGCGATCTAGCTCTACCAAGCTTCCTGTTCCTGCCCCAGTACCAGCTGGGAGCTTTCTTTCTGAACAGGAAGCTAGATGAAGCTAGGCCTAGATAAGACTAAGAATCTTCTAGTCAAGGCTTTTCCCTCAGGTGAGTCACTTTTAGATGTCTTCCTGTCAGGTAGAACTCCTGTATTGGGGCTTAAGGAGTCACTGTCTCTGCCCACTTTCTTTATCGCAAAAGGGGGAATCAGATCATGCTGCAATTTAGAGAAATTGCTTGGCAGTCCATAAGGATATCGTTTTTTACTTCTGAGAAGTGGCGAGGGGGTGTCATTCTATAAGACGGTCACATCCCTGTTCACTGAGGTGCCAAGAATGTGCAAAACTTTGCCAACAGAATGGATTGTCAAACCGCAAAAGGGCAGATCATGCTGCAATTTAGAGAAATTGCTTGGCAGTCCATAAGGATATCGTTTTTTACTTCTGAGAAGTGGCGAGGGGGTGTCATTCTATAAGACGGTCACATCCCTGTCCTGTTCGGTGCCAAGAATGTGCAAAACTTTGCCAACAGAATGGATTGTCAAACATTTAGAAAAGATGTGTGTATTACGTGCCATCAAGTTGGAACCAACCTATAGCAACACTAATAGGGAAGTGAGATGTGTATTTAACAAGGGGTCTTTTACCAGTTCCATGCCCCTCCCAGAGAGTTGAATCCAGTTCTCCTGAGCACCCCCAACCCTCACACACTGTGAAGATCTAATCACACCTGCATTGTGGTATGTATACGTGCGTTTAATATTCAGCTACAGCTGAGTATTTCTTCAGCTTGTAAACCATTTACGTACACTGAAAACATGAGGTGAGAGTGCCATATAACACCACTATATTTTGTTCCAGCATTCTCCCATCTGGCGCCCTCCAAAACACACTCTTTCCATTAATTCTTGTAATTCAACAAAGTGGGCCCCAGCCAGCTTTTAAGGACTTAAATAAAACACCATTTTTTCCCTGTATTTCAAAATCTACTCCTCAACCCTAGTAATACCCTTTATTGGCATTCTTCCCCGCTGGGACTAGCGAATTCAAGCTCAATCAGTATTTGGGAAGTGGATATTTTTAAAAGCTGTCCTCTAATGATTTCCCATGTTAACTCAACCTCGCTGCCTCCAATTAGTAGTTCAGAACAGGATATTGATTGAAACAACAGCTATGGTGTAAATATAGTAAACCTGGCCTGAGGCTTAAAACCACAGAAGTCGTTAATGCCAAGGGAAATAAACATTATTTGCTGCTGCTCGAATGCACGTACATATGGAGATATGGGAGCCAGCATAGTGCAGTGGACAGGGTGGCAGATTAGGACTCAGTAGACCTGCGTTCAAATCCTTTCTCAACCATGGATACTCACTGTGTGTGTGTGTGGGGGCAATGGTAAACTACTTGTTAGATACCTTGTGTACCCTGAAAACTACACTAAGGTTGTCAAAATCCAGAAGAAACACAATCAGAACGGCAAAGGTACCTGCTCCTTGGTGGAGGGCTCTCCATATGAACAAGAACCCTGAACTCGTGAATATTCTTTCATTATATCAGAACAGTTCTCCAAATGGAACAGTCTAAGGTCCCATCGACACTAGTTTTAAAAATGTGAAATAAAAAGTATATATCACTATTCAACCCTCTCAACACAGATTAAAATTCTCTGTGTATTAGATACGTTTCTGAATACAGTGGACCCTCTACTTAAGGAATTAATCCGTATTGGAATGGTGGCTGCAAGTCGAAAAGTCTGTAAGTCGAATCTCCATTGACCTAACCTAC